GGTCCATGAAAACTGCTGGAGCATTGTTGAGACCGAATGGCATGACGACGACCTCGTATTGGCCGTAACGAGTCCTGAAAGCAGTCTTAGCGATATATGACTCTTTAATCTTCAGCTGGTGGTAGCCTGATCGTAAATCAATCTTTGAGAACACACAGGCTCCCCTCGACTGATCAAATAAGTCGTCGATCCTGGGAAGCGGATATTTGTTCTTGATCGTTAACCGGTTAAGATCCCAGTAGTCGATACACATGCGCATGGATCTGTCCTTCTTCTTAACATAGAGAACGGGTGCTCCCTAAGGTGACACGCTCGGTCGGATGAAACCGAGTCGTAATAGCTCCTGAATTTGTGCCTTAAGCTCCTGAAACTCCTTCGGCGCCATACGGTATGGGGCTTTGGATACTGGACCGGCTCCTGGAATAAGATCGATAGAGAACTCCACCTGCCGGTTAGGCGGTCCTCCTGGAAGCTCGTTTGGGAACACGTCCACAAACTCACGAACGACTAGAACATCGTGAGGTGAGCGTGCTTTCTGAGAATCGTCGACAAGGCTCACCAGATAACCCTGGCAGTTACCTCGCCGCAGCAACTTAGTGGCTTTCGCCATCGAAACAACATGAGGCAATGAACGATTCCTGGAGCCAAAGAAAATGATCGACTCATCTCCCGGAAGATAAAGGGTGATCTCCCGGTCATGACATCTGATATCTGCATGATAAAAGGATAGCCAATCCATTCCGAGAATAAGGTCGAAATCCCTCATCTCGATAACAAACGCGTTGGTAGACAATACTCGGCCACTGATGGAAAGGCTAAGATCTGAAGCTTTAGCTGAGGTCACTATCATTCGTCCCGAGGCTAAACTCACCTCGAGAGGATCGACAGCGGTAATGGCATGGACTCCGATGGCATCAAGACATCGTCGTGAAATGAAAGAATGTGTCACTCCAGTATCGAACAAAGCAAACACAGGAACATTATTAAGAACAACCATCCCTGACATAGTACCTAGCTGCTGCTCGGCCTCTGCCTGATCGACTGCGTACACTCGGGCCTGCTGTCTGCCCCTCTACTGCTGCTGCTGAGGCTGCCTCTGGGCCTGCTGACGGGGCTGCTGCTGCTGCGGTGGCTGCTGAGGCTGCTGAGGCTGCTGCTGGGCCTTCCTCGGACATCGGTTAGCAAAGTTTCCGGGCTCGTGGCAGTAATAGCACACATCCTGACCAAAGCGACACTCGCCTCGGTGAAGTCGTCTACATGTCGGGCAGTGGGGAATCTGCTGCTGCCTCCTGCGAGTCCTCTTGTCATTCTGTGCGCCCTTCGCTTTCCTCTTGTTGTTATTCTTCGGTGGCTGGGCAACTGGTAGGGTTGGTGGCAATAATGGAGCTGAAGATGACTGAGCAGGGGCGGATGCCTGAGACTGATCACGGACGGCCTCCCTCCTGATACTGGCGTCCACCTCCTGGGCAATAGCGACTACACGAGCGTACGTCTGTGTCCCGTGGCCAACAATGTTATGACGGACTGCTGGGTAAAGCCCGTCAATGAAGCGCTGTACCCTCTGAGCCTCTTTACGAACTAGGTCCGGAACAAAACCTGCAAGTCTGGTGAACTCCCTCTCGTACTCATCAACCGATCGAGTACCTGCTGGAGCGATGAGAACTGACGCTCCATCTCTGCTCTGTAGTAAATGGGGTAGTACTTTTCGCGGATCAACTCCTTGAGCCTATCCCACGTACAACCCTCCTTTTCTCCGGGACACATGCTCCAGTAGGCATTCCACCAGAGCCGGGCATCACCGGTAAGTTGAAGCTGAGCGCAGATTACGCGATATCTATCGGGGCAATACATGACCTCGAAGATAAACTCCAGGCCCTGAATCCACTTGTCTACGACATGGGGATCTCCTTGCCCGGAGAATTTCTCGGCATGATAGTCGCGGAACTGTGCGACTACTGTGGCCTGAGTAGGAGCCGGATGATCGGGTTCCCTACGGGGCGGCATCTGAACATTGAAAAAGTTCAACATTATTGAACACATGATAATATTCTGACTGATTACTAAGGCACACAAATCTCTTGACGAGTAGCCAAAAATGGCCGATAAATACTGACGTGAAGCCTGAGGAACTCTAGAGTCATATCAAAAGATACTAAATTCTAGAGTCATGTCTGAATATACTCAATTTTAGAGTTATATCTGAACTCTAAAGTCTGAATCTGATTCGAGCATCTTAACTAACTCTGATTACTGATTTCTGAGCATAGCCAAAGTAATATGTTTATAACTAAAAACTGAATCAACACTTACCTGTAGTCGGCGAGGCTTGAGCGTGACGGTTCAGGTTTTTCTGAAAATTACTGACTGGAAAAAAAACTTTTCAGAGACGCAGAAACGTGCTCTGATACCAATTGTAACATCCCTTCTTTTTACTGAAATCAGAGTACGTTTTTTTCGCAATTTTCTGAATAAATAAATAAAATATTTACTTTGCGAAAACTGATTCGGGATGCTACCGTGAAAAACTTGACTTTTCTGAAAATCGTTAAATTTTTAAACTGATAAATAAAAAAGGTTATAATGTCTTAACCGACTAACGTCGGACCAAAAGTTGAAAATAAGTACTGATAGTTTTAGCGGAAATAACAGTGTGGCAAAACATATATACATATATCCACAAATATCCTGAACTGCCCGCCAGCTCACTCCTCGTCCCCGACTCTCTGACCTGAAAACATGAAATATGTGGGGGCGTGAGCACTAAGGCACTGTGCTCCGCAGAAACTCAAACTAAAGTAAAACAGTGAATATAATAACAATATCATGATCCTGGCATATATAACTGAACTGAACTGAAACTGAAACTGATATCTGATACCGGTCTGATCTCGCGACATAAGTCACATAACTGATAATTGAACATCTGCCGGTAAAAACTAATACCGGACACCATGTGCACACTCTAGTGGGCAGATTAAGGCCACTAGAACCCAGAATGGACCGGCGACCATTTCGAGCGGATACTGAACTGATAATACATACCTCAAACATGGTAGCGTAATTATAAACAATGTAGTACTTAGTTTGAGTCCCCACCTGAACTGCTGAAATTGAATGGTAGTGCTGATGCCTGATCAAACTGAAATATAATATAAACAATTACTATTGACTATGCTCAGACTGATAAATTAACTGACTAATTATGTTAAGATGCTCTACTGAACCTGACATGATATTCGGACTTAATCGGTATAACTGAAACCGATTAAGTACGAAACTGAACTGATATTAATTTAACTGAACTGATTAGACCCGGAAATTTTAACTGAAAATGACATTGAAATTGAGAACCGGGACTGAAACTGACAAATACTGACTGAACTGGTCCAGCCGATCTGAACCGGTCTGGACCGGACTGCCAGTCCGTCGAACCGGGCAGTCGGGTGCTGGCTCGGCCGGCGGCCTGCCAGGTGCTGCGCACACGGGCACTGCCTGGAAGCTGCGGGCACGGATTAGTGGACTGACTGGCTGATTGGCCGTGCGGACGCTGGCTGGGCGATCCTATCATGGCTGGGTGCACGCTGGGTGC